CAGTTTCAAGCAATTCTCATGCCTCAGCCTCTCACCTGGCGCCTGCCACCATGCCTGGCTAATTTTTGTAATTTTTAGTAGAGACGGGGTTTCTCCATATTGGCCAGGCTGCTTGAACACCTGACCCTCAGTGTTGGGATTACAGGCGTGAGCCACTGCGTCTGGCTTCTTATGTACTCTTGACATTGTTTTTTTCTTGAGACAGGATCTTGCTCTGTTGCCCAAGCTTGAGTGCAGTAGTGTGATCACAAGTCACTGCAGCCTTGACCTTCCTGGCTCAAGTGATGCTCCCGCCACAGCTTCCTGAGTAGCTGGGACCACAGGGACCCACCACCACGCCCAGTTAATTTTTTAGTTTTTTTCATACAGATGGGGTCTTGCTATATTGCCCAGGCTGTTCTCTAACTCCTGGGCTGGGGTGATCTTCCTGCCTTGGCCTCTCACGTTGCTTGGATGACAGGCATGAGCCACCACACCCAGCCTCATTCTTGACATTTTTGATCATGTGCAAGTGTCTTAAAAATTTTTTTTTTTTGAGACAGAGTCTTGCTCTGTCGTCTAGGCTGGAGTGCAATGACACGATTTCTGCTCACCACAACCTCCACCACCTGGGTTCAAGCAATTCTCCTGCCTTAGCCTCCCAAGTAGCTGGGATTACAGGCGCCCGCCACCATGCCTGGCTAATTTTTTGTATTTTTAGTAGAGACGGGGTTTCACCATGTTCGCGAGGCTAGTCTTGAATTCCTGACTTCAAGTGATCCACCTGCCTTGGCCTTCCAAAGTCTGGCCTGGCCTGAAAAAAATTTTAAAGGAAAAATCCAGGGACCACTTCTGCCCTTTTAAGAACACCCCTCAACACCTAATTGAGCCCCAGAATCCCCAGGTCTCACCATCAGCTGATGAGGGGAGCCCCTCTCTGGCCTCCCACTCCTCCCGGCAGACTCCCTCTGCCTGGCTCAGCTGAAGCGAGTCAGATAGCCAGATGGAGGTGCAGCCAGGCTTGTCTGGAGTGAGGGATGTGAGAGTGATAGAGACACGGCCCTACCCCTGAGGCCTGAGGAAGGGTGTGACTCAGAGATCTTGAGCAAGACGGAGGCCCTCAGCCACCAGGTGAGCCTCTGTCATGGCACTTGGCTAACCCTGCAGAAGCTGCTTCACCTGCCCAGGACAAGTGCCCCTGAGGGATGCCTGCACAGTGCGGATATGCAAATAGGAATACGCCTTGCTGAGTGGACTGATGCTTGATATTATTATTATTTTGCCATTATAAAATAATTTATTGCCGGACGCAGTGGCTCAAGCCTGTAATCCCAGCACTTTGGGAGGCCGAGGCGGGTGGATCACGAGGTCAAGAGATCAAGACCATCCTGGTCAACATGGTGAAACCCCATCTCTACTAAAAATACAAAACATTAGCTGGGCTTGGTGGCGCATGCCTGTAATCCCAGCTACTCAGGAGGCTGAGGCAGGAGAATTGCCTGAACCCAGGAGGCGGAGGTTGCGGTGAGCCGAGATCGCGCCATTGCACTCCAGCCTGGGTAACAAGAGTGAAACTCCGTCTCAAAAAAAAAAAATAATAATAATTTATTAAAATTCGAGAAGGGATGGGTTGGGTGTGGTGGCTCACGCCTGTAATCCCAGCACAGTGGGAGCCTGAGGCAGGTGGATCACTTGAGGTCATGAGTTTGGGACCAGCCTGGTATACATGGTGAAACCCCGTCTCTATTAAAAATACAAAAATTAACCAGGCGTGGTGTTGGTGAGTGCCTGTAGTCCCTCGGGAGGCTGAGGCATGCGAATTGCTTGAACCCAGAGCAGAGATTGCGGTGAGCTGAGATCGCACCACTGCACTCCAGCCTAGGCAACAGAGTGAGTAAGACGCCGACTCCAAATAAAAAAAAAAAAAAAAAAAAAGCTGGGCATGGTGGCTCATGCCTGTAATCCCAGCACTTCGGGAGGCCAAGGTGGGCAGATCATGAGGTCGAGAGATTGAGACCATCCTGGCCAACATGGTGAAACCCCATCTCTACTAAAAACAAAAATTAGCTGAGTGTGGTGGCGAGCACCTGTAGTCCCAGCTACTCGGGAGGCTGAGGTAGGAGAATCACTTGAACCCAGGAGGCAGAGGTTTCAGTGAGCTGAGATTGCGCAGCCTGGCGACAGAGCAAGATTCCATCTCAAAAAAAAAAAAAAAAAATTCGGAAAGGGTTAATTCAGCATACTTTTTTTTTGGGGGGGGCAGGGGATACGGAGTCTCACTCTGTCACCCAGTCTGGAGTGCAGTGGCACGATCTCAGGTCACTGTAACCTCTGCTTCCTGGGTTCACGTGATTCTCCTGCCTCAGCCTCCTGTGTAGCTGGGACTACAGGCATGCGCCATGACACGGCTAAATTTTGTATTTTTAGTAGCGATGGGGTTTCACTATGTTGGCCAGGCTGGTCTCGAACTCATGACCTCAGGTGATCCGCTTGCCTCGGCCTCTCAAAGTTCTGGGATTTACAGGCGTGAGCCACCTACCTGGGGTTTTGTTTGTTTGTTTGTTTGTTTTGAGACTAAGTTTTGCTTTCATTGCCCAGGCTGGCGTGCAATGGCGCAATCTCAGCTCACTGCAATCTCCGCCTCCTGAGTTCAAGCAATTCTTCTGCCTCGGCCTCCGGAGTAGCTAGGATTACAGGCCCATGCCGCCACATCTGGCTAATTTTTGTGTTTTTAGTAGAGTGGGGGTTGGCCAGGCTGGTCTCGAACTGCTAACCTCGTGATCTCCCCCCCTCAGGCTCCCGAAGTACTGGGATTACAGGCGTGAGCCACTGTGCCCGGCCTGGTATAGAATTAAAAAAAAAACTTTTTAGATTCAGGGCTATGCGTGCAGCTTTGTTATATAGGTAAACTCATGCCATGGGGGTTTGTTGAACGGATTATTTTGTCACCTAGGTATTAAGCCCAGTACCCAATAGTTATTTTTCCTGCTCCTCCCCCTGTGCCCCTCTCCAAGCTTAAGTAGGCCCCAGTGTCTGTTGCTCCCCTCTTTGTGTCCGTGTGTTCTCATTTAACTCCCACTTATGAGGGACAACATGTGGTGTTTGCTTTCCTGTTCCTGCTTTCGTTTGCTAAGAATAATGGCCTCCAGCTCCATCCATGTCCCACAAAGGACGTGATCTCTTTCTGTTCCATGGCTGCATAGTATTCCGTGGTGTATATGTACTATATTTTCTTTCTTTTTGTTTTTTTTTGAGACAGAGTCTTGCTCTGTTGCCCAGTCTGGAGTGCAGTGGCATAATCTCAGCTCACTGCAACCTCTGCCTCCTGGGTTCAAGCGATTCTTTTGCCTCAGCTTCCTGAGTAGCTGGGATTAAAGGTGCCTGCCACGACACCTGGCTAGGTTTTTTTTTTGATATGAAGTGTCACTCTGTCTCCCAGGCTGGAGTGCAGTGGTGCGATCTCGGCTCACTGCAACCTCTGTCTCCCAGGTTCAAGCGATTCTCCTGCCTCAGCCTCCTGAGTAGCTGAGATTACAGGCGTGTGCCACCACACCCAGCTAGTTTTTGTATTTTTAGTAGAGATGGGGTCTCACCATGTTGGTCGAACTCTTGACCTCATGATCTACCCGCCTCGGCCTCCCAAAGTGCTGGGGTTACAGGCTTCAGCCATCTTGCCCAGCCTGTACCGAATTTTCTTTATCCTGTCTACCTTTGATGAGCATTTCGGTTGATTTTATTATTATTTTTAAGAGGTGGGGACTTGCCCTGTCACCCGGGTTGGAGTGCAGTGGTGTGATCGTAGCTCACCTTAGCCTCCAACTCTTGGGCTGCAGCAATCCTCCCACCTCAGCCTCTAGAGTCGCTGAGATTACAAAAGTGAGCCACCACGCCTGGCTTGGATCCTTGATATTATTAATACTAAAGATAATAATCAGGCCAGGCTTGATGGCTCACACTTGTAATCCCAGGACATTGGGAGGCTGAGGTAGGCAGATCACCTGAGGTCGGGAGTTTGAGACCAGCCTGGCCAACATGGTGAAACCCTGTCTCTTCAAAAAAAAACACACACACACACACACACACACACACACACACACACACACACAACAACAACAACAACAAAAAACCCCACAAAAATTAGCCAGACATGGTGGTGTACACCTGTAATCCCAGCTACGTGGGGGCTGAGGCAGGAGAACTGCCTCAACCCAGGAGGTTGAGGTTGAAGTAAGCTGAGATCACTCCAGCCTGGGCGATAGGGGGAGCCTCCGTCTCAAAAAAAAAAAAAAAAAAAAAAGATAATAATCACCCCCACCCAGGGACATTTCATGAAGGCTTGTGGGGTTAAGTTACTTAATCTGTCTGTTTCCTCCTCTATAAAGTGAAGATAATCCATGGTCCTTATTTCTCAGACTAGTCGAGAGCAAACAAGTTAGTAAGTGTAAAGCACTTACAACCGCGCCTCGCTGAAGGAGAGCCCGTGTTTGCTACGATGTTATCATCATTATACCAGATTTCATCAAATCCAAGATGCTGGCCAGGCATGGTGGTGCACGCCTGTAATCCCAGCACTTTGGGAGGCCAAGGCAAGCAGATTGCTTGACCAGGAGTTTAAGACCAGCCTGGGCAACATGGTGAAACACTATCTTTACAAAAAATACAAAAATTAGTCCAGCATGATGGTGCATGTCTGTGGTCCCAGCTACTGGGGAGGCTGAGGTGGGAGGACCCCTTGAGCCAGGGAGACCCAGGCTGCAGTGAGCTGTGATTGCATCACTGCACTCCAGCCTTGGTGACAGAGAGAGATCCTGTTTAAAACAAAAATACTAAGATGTCATTGATTATAAAAATGTCACTAAGAAAAAAGAATGCTGCCAGTTAACGATGTCCCAAGGTTCTTTCATCACTAGAATTTTTCTTTTATATTTCCCGAAAGAGCTCTGTTTGACTTAAATGTAGATTCGCATCATATATAATTCTCATGCACACATAAAAAGGATAATAGAAGCAAAATAAATTGGTTACCATGTTCAGAAAACTCCTTCATATTTAGAGTTCGACTCGTGTGAATCATTTGGTCTGAGAGTCCTGATGTCTGCGTCTCCCTGCCACCTCCTCCTCTGAGCCCTTGAGAGTTCTAGGGAAAGCGGCACTGCTCAAAACATTCTATAAAACAGTCGTATACCAGCAGGAGCTCTGAAGCCAGCTTTGCAATTGTGCAAAGGAAGTGGAGCTGACTTTTCACTCCGCTTTGGGAGTATCACTGACAAGCCTGGTTGCCTTCCCCTGGGGTTTCCCACCATTTGGGTCCCAGGGCTAAAAAGGGATCTGATTTTGCCTCTAGGGTTTTCTTCCAAGCTGCTGACACTCTTCTGAAGGATTTGATGCTGGCGCTTTTGAAGTGAAGGTCATGGCAATGATGTTGGGACTGCAGCTAGCCAGACAGCAACTCTACCATGTCAGCTCACTTCAGAGATGTAGAGGATTTGACCTTACCTGGAGCTGAGACAAAAATAAAAAAATAAAGAAAAACAAAAAAGAAAAAAGAGGAAAAAGAAACAGATGTAAAATGTGGGCTGCCTGCGGCGGCTCACGCCCTGTCATCCCAGCACTTTAGGAGGCCAAGGCGGGAGGGTCACTTGAGCCCGGGAGTTCGAGACCAGCCCGGGCAACATAATGATACTCTGTCTCTACAAAAAACAAGCAAAAAAATTAGCCAGGGGTAGTGGCACACACCTGTGGTCCCAGTTACTCAGGAGGCTGACGTAGGAGGATTGCTTAAGCCCGGGAGGCTGAAGTTGCAGTGATCTTGCCACTGAATTCCAGCCTAGGTCACAGATTTTTTTTTCTCTTAAAAAAAAAAAAAAGTGAAATGTGAACATTAAGCATCTTGGAACAGATAAAACATGCATAATTTCCCATCTTTTTTTTTTTTTTTTTTGAGATGGAGTCTTGCTCTGTTGCCCAGGCTGGAGTGCAGTGGCGTGATCTTGGCTCACTGTAACCTCTGCCTCCCAGATTCAAGCGATTCTCCTGCCTCCCAAGTAGCTGGGATTACAGGTGCCCATCACTGTGTCCAGCTAATTTTCATATTTTTTAGTAGAGACTGGGTTTCACCATCTTGGCCAGGCTGGTCTCAAACTCCTGACCTTATGATTCACCCACTTTGGCCTCCCAAAGTGCTGGGATTACATGTGTGAGCCACCTTGCCCAGCCAATTTCCAGTCTTTATACTGACCATGCTTCCAGCTGCCTCAGAGCAGTGGAACATTTCCTGCTGCCTGGAATACCCTCCCTTCCTCTCCACTTTGCCCTGTTAACCCAGCCATCCCTGATCTCATGCCTCCTCCAGGATGCCTTCCCTGATCATCCTGCAAAGGTCAAATCCCCTCCCCTTCATGGCACCTAGTACCGCTACAATCGTCTCGAGTGTGCAGAGAATGGGGTGGGGTGAGGTCACCGGAGCAATGCTCCCTTCTGTCTGGGGTTCAGGGGAGGCTTCTTGGAGGAGAATCTGAACCAGGCTTCCCAGGCTGGGGATGTGGTTTGGATTAGTTTGAGAAACATCGAGGGGAAAGGGAAGGATGCTGCAGTGAGTGAAGCCTGGCATTTGGGAAGATGGGTGTGTGGGTGCCCAGACTCACCACGCAAGGCCCAGGGCCTTTTGAGGCCCTTGAAGGTCCTAGGCCGGAGTCATCCTTTCCCATTTCAGTTTGAGAAAACAAGGCCCAGAGAGGTGAAGGACTGTCCCGCCATTGCCCGTGGAGCCAGGACAGCTGTGGCCCTTCCCTCTGCCAACCTCTGGGCCTCCAGCGGAGATGCTGGGAGGATGCAGGGAGGTGAGGTGGGGGCTGAGTTACAGGCCCGCCCGCACCCGGAAGGAGGAAGCTGCACGGGGTGTCTGTGGCTGGCCCCAGGGATCCCCCACTCGGGGACTTCCTCTTCCTCTCCCCGCAGGTGCAGCTGCCACAGCGAGACGGGCACCCTCACCCGGGCATGGAGGGGGGCAAGGGGCCCAGGCTCAGAGACTTCCTGAGTGGGAGTCTGGCTACCTGGGTGAGGGGCAGGTGGCAGCGGGTTGGGGAGGGGAAATGAGCCCCAGCCACAGGCTGGTGTTGGGGCTGGCTGGGGGAGGATGAGGCAGAGCCAGGCCGGAGGGGAGGGCTGGGTTCAAGTGTCGAGGATGGAGATATGGGAGGGAGGGTGGGTTGTGGTGAGGGAAGAGGGGCCAGAGGCACTCAGAGGACGGGTGGGGGTGTGCTTGGGGTCACTGGGGCAGGCCGGAGGGGCTCCGGGTTCACTCTGCTGGTCGGCTGACCCCTCTGGGCTCCTCACAGGCGCTGGGACTGGCCGGGCTGGTGGGGGAGGCGGAGGAGTCGGAGGGGGAAGAAGAGGAAGAGGAGGAAGAGGGGCCCCTTTGCTCAGAGAAGAGGTTCCTGCGCCTCAGCGATGGGGCCCTGCTCCTCCGGGTGCTGGGCATCATGTAAGGGGCATCGGGCAGGGGCGGTGGCAGGGAAGGATCTGAGGGGAGGGGAAGCTGGTGGGCGGAGCCTGATGGGCAGCGGGCAGGGCTTGAGGGACGGTTGGCGAGGCCTGTTGACAAGAGGCGGGTCCTTGATCCCACCTCCCTCTCATAGTGCCCCCAGCTCCCGAGGGGGACCTCGGATGCTCAGGGGCCATGATGGGCCTGCTGCCTGGCGAGTGTGGAACCTGCACCACCTGTGGGGCCGACTAAGGGACTTCTACCAGGTAAGGGGTCTCAAGGGAAAGGTGGAGACAGGAGGGAAGAGGAGCTTCTTTGGGAAGGTCCCTCATAGTCTGCCCCTCTGACTCCAGGAGGAGCTGCGGCTGCTGATCCTGTTGCCACCCCCAGACCTCCAGACACTGGGGTTTGACCCCCTCTCAGGTGCTCTCCCCACTCACCCTCTCCTGCCTCTGCCCCAGCACTACCCCCCCACACTGCCCAGTTAACCCCTTGGGGCATGTGCCCTGCAGAAGAAGCGATGGAGCAGCTGGAAGGCGTTCTTCGGCTACTGTTGGGGGCATCGGTACAGGTGAGCCGGTGGGGGAAGGGAAAATTGGGGTCGAGCTTTGGTGACAGAGGAGGGAGATCCTGCTCCAGCTCCCATTCCTGTCGCCCCTCCCCTTCCTTAGTGTGAGCACCGGGAACTCTTTATCCGCCACATCCAGGGCCTCAGTCTTGAGGTCCAGAGCGAGCTGGCCGCTGCCATCCAGGAGGTACTGAGGCGGGTCGGCCGCCCAGACTGGTATGGCACCTGGGACGCCCTTGCCACACCGCTTCTTCCACTGAACTGCTCTCCCTGCGTTCCAGGTGACCCAGCCGGGGGCTGGCGTGGTGCTGGCACTGTCTGGGCCAGAGCCTGGGGAGCTGGCACCTGCCGAACTGGAGATGCTGTCCCGGAGCCTGATGGGGATGCTGTCAAGGCTGGCACGGGAGCGTGACCTGGGGGCCCAGGTAGGGGCAGCAGGGGCATCGTGGCTGGAGGACCATCAGGGAGCCGGTTGTGCAAGGGAGATGGAAGCTGGGGGCCCAGGTATGGGGTTGTGGTCTGAGGTCTCGGGACTGTCAAAATCAGATGGCCCAAGACCCCAGACCACAACCTCATGACTGGTATTGTGGCTGGGGGTCAATGTGCAGAGGCATTGAATAAGTTAATTCTGACCCTTGACCCCTGACTTCCTATAGCGGCTGGCTGAACTGCTGCTGGAGCGAGAAACCCTTTGCTTGAGGCCTGAGGTTCCTTCTAGGGCTCCCGCCGAGGGCCCCTCGCACCACCTGGCCCTGGAGCTGGCCAACGCCAAGGCTCAGCTGCGACGTCTGCGGCAGGAGCTGTGAGTATGCGCAGCCTGGGAAGGGGGCTGAATGGAGAGGGGCAGGTTAAGCCTGGATGGGACCCTAGCCCTGGTGGCTACGGAGGGGATCAGGCCTGGGAAGGGCTGGGGGTTGTGGACCCCAGACCCTCTCCAGCTGCTCCTTCCCTCCAGGGAGGAGAAGGCAGAGCTGCTGCTAGACTCCCAGGCCGAGGTGCAGGGTTTGGAGGCCGAAATAAGAAGGCTCCGCCAGGAGGTGCGCTCAGATGTTCCCCGCCACCGCGGCATTCCCTAACCTCCCCGCACGCGGTCCCACTGCCTCCCTCCCAGCCCGGCTCTGTCCCGTCCCTAATCCCTTCGGCCCGCGGCTGGCTGTTCCCAGCTCCACACTGTCTGGTCCAGGCCCAGGCGCTGTCAGGACAGGCCAAGCGGGCCGAGCTGTACCGCGAGGAGGCAGAGGCGCTGCGGGAGCGGGCGGGCCGCCTTCCCCGCCTGCAGGAGGAGCTGCGGCGCTGCCGCGAGCGGCTGCAGGCGGCAGAGGCCTGCAAGGGCCAGCTGGAGGTGAGGCGGGGGCGGGACCGCGGGGCGGGGCGTGCGCGAGGGGGCGGGCCAGGAGGAGGGGCGAGATTGTATCTCGAAAAGAGAGAAGCAGGTTCTCTGGTGGGGACCGTCACGGGTGGAGAAATAGGTGAGGACAGATGCTGGGAGGTGGCGTCTGGGAAAGGGCCTCCGGAGGATGGGGCAGGTGGAGGTGAGAGGTGGGGCTGTGTAGGTGATACAGCCTTGGACGAAGGCGGTTCCTGGGGAGAAGGGGAGAGGCATGCACAGAGGGGCGGGGCATGCACGGGGGCGGGGCATGCACGGAGGGGCGGGGCATGTACAGAAGGGCGGGGCATGTACAGAAGGGCGGGGCCAGAGGCGAGGGAGAAAGTACCTGAAAAGACCCTGGAGAGAAGAAGATGCAAGGGATGGCGGGGCCTAGAGACTTATGGGGTGCAGCGTGGGGGAGGGAGGCAGAGTCTGTGACAGGCCGTGGGGAAGGAGTTTGGGACCCCCAGGCCCTGGAGTGCATAGGGCTGCATGGCTCACTGGTTCTCCCTGGTCTCCCACCAGGAGGAGCGAGTGCTCTCAGGGGTGCTGGAGGCTTCCAAGGCGCTGCTGGAAGAGCAGCTGGAGGCTGCCCGCGAGCGCTGCGCCCGGCTGCATGAGACCCAGCGCGAGAACCTGCTGCTGCGGACCCGGCTGGGCGAGGCCCATGCGGTGAGGTCGCCAGAGTGAGCTGTGTTGCCCTGTCACTCCCATAACCCCACTGATCTCCTAGGGGTCTCTAGTGATTCGTGCAGCCTCCACTCTTGGTGACCTCTAGTGACCCTCCAGCCTACACACTCGGCCTGGCCGTGGTGTGGAGGGCTTGTCTGACCTTGCCCTCGCCCCCAGGAGCTGGCCTCTCTGCGGCATCAGGTGGACCAGCTCGCTGAGGAGAATGTGGAGCTGGAGCTGGAGCTTCAGCGGAGCTTGGAGCCGCCCCCGGGTTCCCCTGGGGAAGGTGAGGGACCCCAGTGGAGGGGCTGGGGTAGGGGCTACCTGTGCTTTCCAGCAGCTGTACTGCGGAGAGCCTCTGACCTCCTCCCCTCCCCCAGTCCTCTGGGGCAGTATGTGAGGAACCAGGGAGTAAGAGAGGGGTCCTGACCTCATCTTACACCCCCAGCACCCCTGCCCAGAGCAGTCCCCTCACTGCAAGACGAGGTGAGGGAGGCAGAGGCCGGGCAGCTGCGGATGCTCGAGAGGGAGAACCGGGAGCTTCGAGGGCTGCTTCAGGTGCTTCAAGGGCAACCAGGGGGCCAGGTGAGTCCCCTCCCACAGCGTCCTGGTCGGCTCCTCCCCTAGTCCATCCCTAGGCCTGACTGTCCCTCTCCTTTGCCCTCAGCACCCCCTGCTGGAGGCGCCGAGCGAGGATCCCGTGCTGCTGGGCCTGGAGGAGGCTCCCCGGACTCCTGTGGCCTCTGACCACAGCCCCCAGGGCTTGGTTCAGAAGGGGAGGGATGGAGGCCCCCAGACCTTGAACTTGGCTCCCCTGGCATCAGACTCAGTGCTCAAGGGGTCAGCTGAGTGTCCCCAGGCACCTGATTCAGACCCGCAGGAGGCAGAGAGGCCTCTCCAGGCAGCTGCCCTGGACCCCCACACCTCAGACTGGTCCCCTCAAGAGTCAGACTCTGCTGTGGGGACACAGGCGTCCCTGGAGAAGGCTGGCCACAGCTCCTCCCTCCAGGGCCCTGCCTCTGTGTCTCCTCGCCAGGGTCCAGGAACCAAAATTCAGGCCCAGCAGTTGCTGGGAGGAGGGACTGAGGGAAGAGAGGCTCCCCAAGGTGAGTCGGTGCCTGAGGCCCAGGAGTTGAGACAGGAGGACCTTGAACACAAGCCAGGGCCTTTGCAGCCCGGCCCTGTGAAGCTGGAGGAGCAGGAGGGCCCAGGTCAGGACCTGGACCTGGCCACGGGACAAACAGAGGCCAGAGGGCATGACCAGAGGCTGGAGGGCATGGTCGGGGACCCAGCCCAGCAAAAACCACAGCGGAAGTCAGAAGAGGCTCTTGAGGTCCAGGCCTGGGAGGAGCCAATCCCAGGGGAGAGCCTGGCCAGTGGTGTCGCAGAGCAGGAGGCCCTCAGAGAGGAGGTGACACAGCTGAGGAGGAAGGCTGAGGCCCTTGGAGCGGCGTTGGAAGCCCAGGCCCGAAAGCTGGAGGCCCAAGGTGTGGAGGCTGCCAGCCTCTCCAAGGAGCTGGCCCAAGCTCGAAAGGCAGAGGCTGAGGCCCACCGGGAGGCAGAGGCCCAGGCCCAGGAGCAAGCCCGGCTGCGGGAGGCAGTGGAGGCTGCCCGCCGGGAACTGGAGGCTGCGTCCCGGGAGCGGGAGGCACTGGCGGAGGCCCTGGCAGCAGCGGGCCGGGAGCGGAGGCAGTGGGAGCGTGAGGGGTCCCGGCTGCGGACCCAGTCGGAGGCCGCGGAGGAACGGATGCAGGCGCTGGAGCGCGAGGGC